TCCGAAAATTGGGCCGCGCCCAAATTCTCACCTGCTGCTCTCTGCTGGGGCCGAGGGACCTGGGAAGGCTCCCTCCAGGCTTGATGAGGCTCTGAAAACGACCTAAATCAAAGGTTTGATCTTGCTGTCCCTAACTGAGGGAAAACAAAGAAGGGAAAAGTTCCCCCCCCCCTAGAGGGAGAGGATTGTGAGTCTGTCAGCCTGAATAGGCTTCAGACTGGGATAATTGATCTTTCTTCTAGATATAATCGATTCTGAATCAATAATAAAATAACAAATAATAATAATAGCCTGAGCTAAGTAATTAAATAGAATTAAACAGTCTTCTGCTCCAGGAGCGAAGACAAAACGCGTCTTGGGGCAAAAAGACTAAGTCTAAAACTGGGGTGCAGTTGGCACAGAGGGGGCGGTACTAAATTTCAGACTTAGTCTAATTGGAGCAGATAGATTAAGACAACCCATCCGTGGGTTCTCCATCCAATCATGCTGGAGAATGGCTTGTTTCTGCTTTCTTCAGGATGTTGTTTTCAACTTCTTGAACCCTTTAAAACTTTAAAACCCTTAAAAGATTGGTCAGTTGTTGGTTCTGCAGAGACACTGTATATTGTAATTACTGCATTTTAATTATGTAGTCTAATATTGGTTTCTATTTTTATGTTGCGTGGGCTTCTTGGAGCAAATTAATAGATGGGTAACCACAGAAATTGCTAAGCATATAAAACCCAACTCCCTTTTCTTTAATGGAAAATTTTCCCTTGCAACTGACAAGAGTGTTAAATTACTACTTCTAAATGCTACATCTGAAACAGTCACCATAAATGAACTAAACAGTTTCCTGGAATCCAGAGACATGACCTGGTGACAATAGCATGGTCAAAAAGATATCTCTAGATGGCAAAAACAAATGGAGAAATCCAAAGAGTACAAAGAGAAAGAGAGAGAAAAGGTGGGGGCAGGAGGAGAGGGGAGAGAGGGAGAGAGTTCATTTGACATTAAAATGAAATAATAAAAAATCAATAGGTTATCTCATGTTTACAATTCTATTTAAAGTTTAAAATATCATTTAGATTCACCACATAATAAATCCCTATTTCCAATATAAGTTTCCAAATCTGCCCAGGATATTCAAACTTAATTATATAAATCCTACCATTAAACAATAATCAATAGTCTATTTAGATATGCAACTATTAAAACAATTATGGAATCTTATTGTTGTGAATTGTAAGCTGCTTCATTCTTTCTTCAGACAACAACAGCCAGGGTACCTCCATTTCATCATTTTTTTCCAATTGTTAAGATAATTCTAGCATAAAAGTGGAGATTCTTCCAGCAGCCTTTCAAATCATAAAATAAATCCTCTTTTAGTCTGGCTGTCACTCCTGTAATTGAGCAAAATTTTCAATACTATTGTCCCAGTTATTCTGACATAAGAGGTAGTAAAATAAGAGTGAAGATCTTCTGTGTGGCTATCAGACCCTCTGGAAATGTTCTCATTTTTCTCCACACCCCCCAAAAATCTGCCAATAACATTAATCAAAACTTCCTAGTATTAATGCCCTGCTTAGATCAAATTTATTCATTTCCCTTAAGTAGAGTTCCTGAATAGATCAGAAGTTTGGGACCTTAAACTCTGCTGCAGTATTTATTGTTCAAAACTGGGCAAAGTTATTGCATATTAAACAAATATCCTCAATATGAGTATTTATTTATTTTATTTGTAAAATACTCCAATCTTACATCTTTGTATACAAAGTAATAATCAAAAGGTGTAACACAATTATTCACTTACAGAAGAACTCCATGCACCAAGCAGTTGACATTGAAGGCTCATTGAAAAAGGAAGGCTTTCTTGATTTTTCTGAGAATAAGAAATGAAGGTATTTTCTGACTCTTTGAAGATGGTAATGTATTCCATAATATGGGTCTGTTACAAACAAGGGCCATCATCTCTCGCTTTAAAGAACCATGGAAATGTCCTTTAAGAAATATTCAGAATATTCAGATACAAAGACAGAAGTATTCTTCAGTTTCAGAAAAGGAAATAGTATTAGGAAGAGACCCAGACTAGCTCCTCCCAGCTTCCATGGGGTATAAGAAATTAGAACACAGACTAGCAAGGTTCTGTTACTATAGTTTATCTCAATAAAGTATATTTCTAGACTTCCTGTGCAACTTTTTCCTGGTCTGGTCCACCTTACAGGACTGACATACACATTCCACAGACCTTATAATAATGATAATGATAATAATAATAATAATGATAAAGTTGGAAGGGACCTTGGAGGTCATCTAGTCCAGCCCCTTGCTCAGGCAGGAAACCCTATACCATATTGGACAAATGGCTGTCCAGTTTCTTCTTTAAAACTTCCAGTGTTGGAGCATTCACCACTTCTGGAGGCAGGTTGTTCCACTGGTTAATTGTTCTAACTTTCAGGAAGTTTCTCCTTAGTTCTAGGTTGCTTCTCTCTTTGGTTAGTTTCCACCCGTTGCTTCTTGTACTGCCTTCAGGCGCTTTGGAAAATAGCTTGACTCCCTCTTCTTTGCAGCAGCCCCTGAGATATTGGAACACAGCTATCATGTCCCCCCTCGTCCTTCTCTTCATTAAACTAGACATACCCAATTCCAGCAACCCTTCCTTATATGTTTTAGCCTCCAGTCCCCTAATCATCTTTGTTGCTCTTCTCTGTACTCTTTCTAGAGTCTCAACATCTTTTTTACCTCGTGGTGACCAAAACTGGATGCAGTATTCCAAGTGTGGCCTTACCAAGGCATTATAAAGTGGTATTAATACTTCACGTGATCTTGATTCTATCCCTCTGTTAATGCAGCCTAGACTGTATTGGCTTTTTTGGCAGCTGCAGCACACTGCTGGCTCCGATTTAAATGATTGTCCACTAGGACTCCGAGATCCCTCTCACAGTTACTACTATTGAGCAAGGTACTCCCTATATTACACCTGTGCATTTGGTTTTTCTTGCCTACATGTAGAACCTTACTTTTTTCACCATTGAATTTCATTTTGTTAGATAGTGCCCAGTGTTCAAGTCTGTCCAGATCCTCCTGTATCCTAAACCTGTCTTCTGGAGAGTTAGCTATTCCTGCCAGCTTGTTGTCATCTGCAAATTTGATGAGTTCCCCATCTATCCCCTTGTCCAGATCATTGATGAAGATGTTGAACAGCACTGGGCCCAGAACAGAGCCCTGGGGCACCCCACTACACACCTCCCTCCATGTAGATGCAATTCCGTTGAGGACCACATAAGGAGAAGTAACTCTCAACAGGCCTCTAAATATTGAAACTGTCTGAGTTCAATTTGTAACAATTTACATAAATATTAATTTCATTTCATATTAAATATGCAAAGTAAGTATCATAGAGATCCATATTTTTGCAGCAACAGCATCACAAGCAGATGTCAGAAGTGACTTTTGTAGAAACCTAGAGTCACTTGAGTAAGCACTTCCTAAGAAGGTACTATATGGGCATTTCTTTAAGGTTAAGCCAATAATTAAAGACTAGTTTGTAAAGGTCTCACATCCATAAATAGGTATCAGTTTCCAATAATAGCTAACAGCTCTGAAAATCTATTCTCTTCTCATAGCCAAACAGGCCACGGAAAGCAAAGACAAAATTTTAAGGCAGAAGTTCTATTCCAAAGACAATGTTAAATATCACCGAAAGTACAAGATTTCTGGATATTAATCCTGAAAAGTCCAGGACAGAACAATTCCTAGTGAAAGAAAAAAAAAATCAATCAGCAGAAACTAGTATGCTTATTTTAAACTAGACAGAAAAAAACTGATTGAATGTTTTCCATTGCCATTTCAGCCCTCAAGGTAAACTAGACTAAAAAACAGACACCCCATAGGCCTAAAACAACTTTCATTAGAAAGGCCATAATAACAGAATCTTGCAAGTCCAAATATGTTTCCCTCTCCCATTTTTATCTCCTAGAGAAAAAAGAGAGATTTTTTTTGTAAATGTCTCTCTTTTTATGGGCTTACGTTATGTTTATCTATTTGTTGCCTAAATAGCAGATCTTCCATTTCACCATTAAAGTCAACTTCTATACTTTCTACAGATACAAAGTCTCTTGATGTATCACACCAAAGATACAGAGAGATTTTATTTCACTTTATACTTTTATACATACCATCTATGCTATGTTATTGGATACTCTGAACAGAGATGATCTTTCATTCTATCTACAGCTGGAAAAACCTTGGCAGAAATCCTAAGGCATCACTTTCAGTCAGTTTTAAAAGTGATGACTATAGTAAGCTGAATGAATCAGTAGTCTCTCAGTACAAAAGCTGCTTCCTGCTATTCCGATAAGTGAAGCCAATAGATGCAATAAATCGACTGAACTTCAAAAACAAACCACAGTCCTGAAAAAGGCAGCAGGTTCTACTCTCCATTTTATGAACAGAAACAATCAAAGCCAAGTGTTAAAATGAAATAACATAAAATGTGGACAATTGCAAAACCTATGAATATAAACTACAAATCCAGGCATAGCGTGGAAACAGTACTGGTGACTTATGCTGTCTACATACCAGATGGGAAATACAATTTCAGTCTCCTACTATTTCTTACTGATCTAAACTCCCTGTTGAAACAAAGTTATGAAGCCAGCTAACCTCAGGAATATTTTAAAAAGAAAAAGGAAAAAGAAAAATTAATCAACAATTGGAAAAGATCTTGCAATGTTTCAAGGAATTCTTGATCTTGTCTTAACAAAAATGAAATATAGACTATTTTTTTCCACAGAATTGTCTTTGATATAAGTTTTCACAACAAGCCAACATTTTTCGGAGAAGGATTTCAAAAGTTGAAAATCAGTCAACTAAAATTAGATTAAATGAATGAAATGAGCATTTCAAAAGAAAAGTTTGCAGACATTAACATCAATCAAACCAATAGATTTTTGGAAATTCAGAAAAAAATGACACAGTTTTAATAAAAATTAAAAGGAAACTCAAAGAACCTAAAATACTTTATGGTGCTTTACTTTTATTTTATTTACAGTCAAAACAGAAGTAGAAAGTAAATGCTTTTATGACAGAGAAGCTTTAAAGTACAGGACTGTGACAAAGACACTGAAGTAGATAAAGGAAATTACATTCTCAGCTTAATAATTCAAAGTATGATATCTAGATCAAAACGTATATTTTATTTAGAAAAGTACTGCAGGAATAAAGAATCCAGGAAAAAAGAGCAGCTGACAGAGGCTATGTAGAATAAATACAGAACTCCAGGGCACATTCTAATGACTCCATCATTCAAACATTGCTTTCCAATTCTTAATAAATTCATTTAAAAGACATTCTTTTTCTCAAACTGATAGTGCTGTTGGAGCTTGCCAATTATAGTCCAGTCCAGCTCACGCCTTTAGAAGGAGACAGTGCAGCTCCTGCAGGGAATATCCTCTTGCAAATACTCTGATGCCTATCATATCAGGAGGCCTTGTCTTAATGATCACCAATGGCAGACAAATGGTAAAAATTGCAGCTATTTTTTGTTCTCATTCATCTTCGTCCAGAACAACAAGTGGCACTCCAGGTAGTAAATTCCAACTGTAGATCACCATTCTCATCTACTGGAAACAAAGAGTTAGATGATTTCTTAAACAAGAACTGGCATCCAGAGCTGGGATTTTGGCTAAATATAACTACTTTTGTTATATTTTCTGTCAGAAAATATAGAAAAAGAATTAAAATCTAGCAAAGATAGTCCTGATGAAATAATCCAAATATAAATATATAAGGCTTCATTTCTTCTCTGGACATTCAGATCTCTTGCTTTTCTCATTCTGTAATAAGTTACACTATCAACAGAATTTAGTTTATATGAATTGAATGGATATTAATAGTTCGATGAGAAGCCTTCTGCATTCATCTGGGAATGGCAGTTGCCTTTGCAATAAACCAGGAATTCCAAGATGACTCTGTTTTCATACTTCAAAGAGTTTTAACAAACTTGAATTGCCCAATAACTGGGTGAAAAGTTCAACCAAGCACCCAAATTAACTTAAAATTGCTTGAGTCAAAGAACTGTACCTCTGAGTACAATAACCCTTTCCTTATCCATAATGACATTTTAGAAGAACCACTTTACTGTTTTCTGAAATTGATGATCTCCCCATTTGATTAGCGCTTTGGGCCACTTTTGGAACATATTGTTCTGTTTTCATTAAATGCCTGGGTATTTTTCAGCATGTTTGATGCCTGTTGACTAATACCATATAGTGCCATTGACCCAAATTCTACCTATCTTTCAGTGGGGAAGAGTTCTTTCATTAGACTGACATTATACTGGATTCAGAATTTGCTTTAAAACTAAATCCTAATGAAAGCATGTCAGTTATACCAAGAATAGAAAATATACAACCACTGCTATCATTGCTCCATTCTTCTCCACCTCTTCCCCCTCTTCCTCTGCTCTCCAAACCATTCTTCTAACTATGCCATAAAATTTTGCCACCTTCCCTCAGCCCCCATTTTGAAAAATGAAACATATGAGCATTATAGCATGGCACTAAAACAGACTAAACTAATTTTGAAATCAAGGGAAAATATCCACCCCTTACCAAGAAAAACAATATATATTATGTGATACTCTGAATTTAAGCCACTGTTGTTTAATTAGATGTGCTGCTGAAGTGTGTGTCTGTGTCTGTGTGTAGCTGTGTCTGTGTGTGATTATTTTCCTTCAGGAATTACCTAAAGGGAGACATGACTTTTTCTTCACATTGCTTGCTAAGGATGATAAGGTTTAGATGCTGTCAATGTCACCATTGCCATTGTGGTTTTTTTTTAAAAAAAAATGAAATACAAACTAAGGATAGCATGGAATAAGCAGTGGGATTTGAAATCTGTAAGTTAACAACATTTTTAAATGTTTTCATTTTTTGGAGTTCTATCAGTGGCCCACTTTGTTTGCTCGAATGGTTATTTGTAAATTATCTTAAATATTCAGAGCATTGTAGCTTCCAGTTAGTTCTGGTGAAGTGTTATATCCTAAGTGACATTTTATTGATCTAAAAACATTTCAGTAGATACTATAATATTGAAGATATATGAAAATGTTAACTTAAGTTCATGGGAAGATACCACTTATAAAAGACCACCAGCAAAATAAATGATTAGTCTCTTTCCATTCCCTTCTCTGGGTTCTCTGTTTTGCAGGTATGAAATACTATCAGCTGCGAGAGTGAGTTTTTTTCCAACACACATCAGATTAAGTTCTTAGTTCTGAGAATCTAAGCAACAGAACAAATATTGAGTAACAGCAGGAAAAACAAAAAATCAGTGCAATTTTATGTATTCATAAAATATTGCCAAACTACAATAGATTAATAAAACCAAATAAAGCCAAATATAATACACAAGCTTACATAAACCTATAAAATGTGTTACAAACCTTGGGCAAATGTATTTCTGTATTCTGCAATACGGTAGATTCATATATCATTATGATTTCATATAACCTTTAAACAGTACTATAAATCCTTTTTTAATACCATTGGGATTTTTTTAAAAAAATATAATTATGCCCATAAGGCAATACCAGATTTTCAGTGCTATTTATGGCTTCAGGGACCATTAATTGCTCATAGAATATATAGCACAAGAGACTCTCATCATCTGGGATGTAAATCATCCACAAAAGTATCCTAAAAGTTAGCAACATACTGTATCTAGTGAGCTGAATATTGTTGGTACTCACTACATACTCACATACACACACACCTCTGAAAAAAGCTCTAATGCTGGGAAAAGTAGAAAGGAAAAGAAGAGGAAAACAACAAGCAGCAAGATGGATGGCATTAGTTACAGTGGTGAAGGGTACACTGTTGAAATACCAGGGAATGATTGTCGTGGATAAAATCTATTAGATTGAACACCAGCTTGATGGTACATGATCAATCAATTACACACACAATGGATATAAATTCAAATACATAAATCCATAGCGTGTTATGAGCCAGTATACTATGGATTTCTTCTATGATGAACTTCTATAGAGAGATGAAAACTTGTAGGATCTGCCCTTATACAATTGTATCATTATAGTGTACATTGTTTTCTGTTAATTCTGTTTTTAAATTCTATTGATACTGTAGGAGTAAATAATCTGTTTCTAAGGAACTTCACTGAATGGTCATACTTTTATCCATTTTAACATAACTGTTAATATGACATTCATTATTTGTTTATATTATATTATATACAATCTTGAATTTGAGGGGCCCTTGGCATTCTCTGAGCTTGGTTGTTGTCTTGCAAATGTTTCATTACCCAAACTAGGTAATATCAGCAATGCTAATAGGGAGTGGGGTTTTCTCTCATTTTACATTTTAGTGGCTTGCCCTGTCAGTATTGCTGGGAAGTGGTCTTGGTGATGCTTTGGTTGGGCTGTTTCAGGTTAGTTTGTTTGGCAGTTCCTTGATTGGGATATTAATTGCTTATTGATTGTTAGTCTAATGTTAATCTTGGTATTAATCTCTGCTCATCAGTGTCGATTACTCAACAGGATGTATTCTGGTCTTTTTATTCCCTTTTTCGCTTGTTGATTGTCTCTTTTGAATGGTATGTAGATATTGTTTGTGTCTATGCTTGTTGATGGATAATTTCTCTAGACCAGGGGTGTCAAACTTCCGGCCCACAGGCTGGATGCATCATACTAAAAATATCACCCACCCTATTTCCAGCAATGGAAAAAAGTCATGATTTGTTGCGACATGTCACGTGACGTTGCGAGTTTGACACCCCTGCTCTAGAGTTTTTAGACTTGACTTGGTTAGGATGTTCACAGTTTCTCTGTTGAAACTGTGGGTAAGTCTGTCCATGTGTTATAAAATTAAGGAGATTTCATCATGTCTTCTGACTGCTAGTCTGTGTTCATCGATATGCTTTGCTAGTCTTTGCTTGTTTGTTCTACATATTGGTTGCTGCAGTCCTTATACTGTATATTGTAAATGACTCTGGGTTTTTTGCTTCTGGGGATGCTGAGTTTTTGGTTTACTTGGGATGTTTTGAAGACCTTTAGTTGGTTTATGTTGATGCCGTGTTTATGTTGTTGGTGGTTTCTGAGATGTTTTTGATATTTGACAATGTTATCCTTTTCATAGCTTGTGTTGGTTGTGCTATACTGGGTTGAGTGGCCAGGAATGTTGATGAAGTTGCATGGATATCCATTTTGTTGGAAAAGGTATAAATTATCAGTTTCCTTTTTCTGATATTCAGGGTTGCGTAGTATGTTTGTACTCATCTAAATAGTGTTCTTTCACAGCTTCTCTTGTGGGAGGTTGGGTTGTTACTTAGGTAGTGAAGCACTTGGTGTGGGTGGTTTTTTTTTTTTTTTTCAAAAGACTTGTGTAAGCAATGATCCCATAGATGTTTCTTTGATTGATTGATATATTTCTCAATTGAATTGAAAATATTTGATTAGGCAGAGATTGAAAAGATTCATGATTTTGGGTGTTTCAATCTTGGTAAGATAGCTTGGGTAATGAAACATCAGCAAGAAAACAACTAAGCTCAGACAGTGCCAAGGAGCCCTCATTTCAACCTTGAGCTACAAATATTTTTCTGCATCAGAATCTTGAATTTTATAAACATGAAGTACATTTTATGTAGGACTTTCTGCTGGCCACTACAGAATTCCCTGGGCTCAGCTAATATAATTTAACAGTAATTCATTTCTCCTGATGCTTGTTTCTTTCTTTTAGTCATCATCATTAAGGATGGATAAAAAGCCATAATCTACCTTGGTAATTGTTTCCATTATCAAACTATTCTTACTGTTAGTTTTTCCTAATATTGAGTCAGTCTGAAAGTAGGCCACATCAGGAAATACACACCACAAGAACACTAGAACTCTGCTTTATTGTTGTAGGATATATTAACAGAATCTTGAAAACCTTCCAGGATTTTTCTCTGCCCGCTTTCATATCATGCAGGATCAAAGCAAAGTTATTTTTAGTATCTTTCTCAGAACTAAGCCTTTGTTTGCTTTCATTTTTACTCTCTGTTCTACTAAAGTATCTTCATTCCTTCATCAATATTATCTTATCATTCTTCTATATATTCAGTTGAAATCTGACTTCATGTAATTGCTTGTAATCTGAACATGCCAGTAAAGGTTGAAAAAAATATTCCATTGTTGTAAAACTGTTCAGGGGCATTTGGAATCAAAAGAAGAATAAAAACGAATAAAAAATTAATGTGTTTAGGCCCTGACTTCAATCTAAGGAATTTCAAAAATAAATATCCATTGTTGAACCAAAAAGGTAAAGTACAAACCAAGGACTGGGTAGCAAAATTGACCTGTTGGTTTTACTTAGGTTTGAGAATTACAGATTATATTCTTAAATGCTAAGCATTGGCTTTGGTGGAACAAATGTTAGCAATTTATTATTCTACAAGCCTCTCTTAGGCCCTATAAACTTCTTTCTTAAACAGATGGTGCCTCTTGTATAGGAGTCTGCATTTAAAAATACAGGTTCTAATCAGCCTCTCAATCAACTCACTGCTTCGCCATCATCCATCTCTTTCTCTTCAGACAATGAATCTTTCATAGGCTCTAGCTGTTTTC